TGGCCGACTCACTTTTTTTTTTTGGGAGAAATTTTGGTCACTACAATATGTGCTGTCGGCCAAAAACATATTCATATGAAGAGATATGAATAATAAATACAGAATGATAGAAAGAGAAAAAGAAATAAAGAGTACAATTATTATAAAACAAACTAAATCAAAGTTTTTGCATATGGCAAACCCTTCATATATCTACCAATTCCTCTCAAATTCCTCTCAAATTCCTCTTTGGGTCTAACATCTCTTTTATAAACACTTATGATATGATATGTGTGGACATTGGGTCTAACATCTCTTTTATAAACACTTATGATATGATATGTGTGGACATTGGACTGCCGACGAGAAAATGATGATGTTGAGAACGACACTTTTTCTGTTTATTTATTAGATGATCATTACAAGTGTTTCGACTACTCATGATTCATRCATACATCAGTTGAATCATAGAATATTAAGAGTAAAATATTCAAAAGACTCAACCAATCAACTCAAATCATGTAAGTTGAGTTGAGCTACTAAATTTAACGGTTGAATTGGATTGAGGTTAAATAAATTAAAATTTTATGAATCCAATGGCTCAAGAATGCATTTATAACTATCATTCTTTTAAACCGGTTATATATAATGTACAATATTTTYATACTCGTGAGATTTTTCTTCCCAATGTTGGGTAAGTCCTCGTATCATTGTTGAGAAAATTTCTATTTTGTCTTTTTGTATATATAGAGGTGTTGGAGGAGGCGTTGACCATTAATACCAAGTAAGAATTTCACAAGACAAAGTTTCAGACTGAAGGATGTTTGTATTTGATTTCATGTATTATGATGGCACTCAAAGTTCTTATTTATACAAAAAGGTATCCTAATTTTAGAAAGGAAAAAAATCTAAAATTAACAAAATAGTGTAACAAAATGCACAACAACTTTAAGGATAGATCTGTAGTGTGTGGCTTCAACCTCCTTGCTTAAGTTAGGTTTAGCAACATCATCTCACGTGACCTTTGCGCGCAATGGCAGCTAAACTATGGAGCTCAACCAAAGTAATCCTAAAATAGCTAATGTCACCCTTTAGAAGACTAACGTTGAATCTTATCTTTTTTTAGTACAACATGTGAGGGTGGGAGATCGAACTCACAATCTTTTGATTAAAAATATATGTCAATTACCGTCGAGCATATAACAAATCTTATTATAAAGGATTAAATTTACTTTTAACATTTCAATCTTAGCTTTTTTTCCCCCTAATTTAATGGTTTTTTAACATGATGTTTGGATCTCATGTTAATATATCTAAATCTACCTTATGTTGGATGTTTAATATTAGAACGATTGGAATTAAATTATTCTCATTTAGTATGTTTTAATTCAATAAGCTAGAGCTTTTTGAAGAAGATTTAATATTATGAATAAAAAAGAAATATTTTCGTGCATTTAAATTAATTAATTAAAAGGCACTATAGAAATTAAAATTGGCCAAAAGAGAGAAAAAAAGAGGTAGGTATTGTGGGCATTAGAAAAGAGACAAAAAACGCGTATGTTTTTATTCGTGCACATGGGAGTAATATTCTCGAAATATAAAGCCATAATAATTTAATTTAATGATTTTTTTACAGGTTGTTGTGCATTTAGTTCTTCTAATTAATATTTTGATTTACGTAAAAAAAAAAAGTCTATGRTTTTGGTTATGGGTTAGAAAAAGTATGCGAGTAATCTCAACTAATACATTGTTTTTTGGTTTGGTAAAATTAGAGAAAAATGGAAATTATAATTAATTAATTTGTTAGTTAGTATAAAAAAGAAGAAGAAGCTTCTTCTTGTTTTTTTTTTAAGTTATTTAATAATTATAGAGATGAATACACGTGTAAATGTGTGGAAAAAACAAAAGAGGGATTTTTTTAGAGCTATTCTTAATTATACAAAAAAAAAGAGCACAAAAAACTCGGTTATTTTTTATTACTAATGTTAATAATAAAAGTTATTTTAAAAATATTGTATTTTAATTAAAAATGTTTAAAATATGGTATGTTTTGAAACTTTTTTTAAAAATATAGTAGTTTTAAAAAAGTGAAGGGTAGTCGTCTAAATCTGGTCGGTTCATTTTTGGAAAAAAATAAAATAAAATTTGTTATATTATATATTATTTAGATTTGAACTTGGGATGGAAGAAATATCAGAGTAGTTGTACATCCACTACACCACTAAACAGGTTTTTACATTACAACTACTAAATAATATATAATATAACAAATTATTTTTTTTTAAAAAAAAATGAACCGACTAGATGGTCGTCTCCATCCCACATGGTCGTCCGTTCAAATTTTTAAAAAAATTTACGTGGCGCCACGTCTAAATGGTCGTCTCTAGAGACGACCAACCTTCTGTTTTTTAAAAGTACAATATTTTTAAAATAAGTTTCAAAACCTRTAATATTTTTAATTAAACMACTATATTTTTAAAATAAGTTTCATTTGGAACAATATTATAAAAAAAACCCCAAAAAAACTCCGTACTAAAATTTTTAAAAGTTAGAATTGTTATTAACTTTATTCTAATTTTTAAATTAAAAAAGCTAATTAGTGATGACTTTTTTTTTTTTAAGAATAGAATAATATAAGAGAACATTATTGAGTTTGCTTAACTAGATTGATTAATGATGAATCTTATCTTTTATTTCAAATTTAAATTTTGTTATTCATAAATGCTTTTTTAATGCCCGAGGATTTTTTTTTTAGAATTAATTAGAATCTAGTCATCCTTCCTAAATAAAACATAACAATATACTATTAGTTTGAATTTAATGAAAGAAAATAAATTAACGAAACTTCTATTTTAAAGCACTCTTTATTTTCCCTATTATTTTTAATTAAATTTTAAAAAAATAAAACAAAAATCTCATTCGGTAGAGCTCGTATTTCTTGTTTCTCGTTTCTAATTTTTGTAAGAAATCTAAGCATTTACAACTAACTATGCTTTTTGTTTCTCTTTTTTTTGTCTTTTTTTGTGTGAACATCTTCAAAATTATATAGAAATTTTGGAAACAACCAAAACAGGTTTATTGTTCSCATTTCTCATTTGTTCTAAAACAATAAATAAAAACTTGTTTGATTATACTTAAAAACAAAACAGAAACAAGAAACAAGAACGTTACYAAACGGGTTCTATATTTCTTGTTTCTTATTTTTTTTGAAACATTTTAAAAATTGTATAAAAGTTTTGGAAACAATCATTCTAATTGCTTCTTGTTTCTGTTTCAAACTTGTTACAAAACATAAATATAAAAATTGTTTAATCATCCTTGAATTCASGTGTTGGAGTTATGCAATTTTATTTTTCTTTATTAAAAGTAGGAAACAAAAACAAGAAACGAAAGCGTTACCAAACTAGCTCAAACAAACTCAAATATTATACAGTTCGTTAGATTAGTTTAAAACGTTTAAGTTAGAATWGCTTTTTAATCCTGGCAATTGAATTATGCCTAAAACGTATTTCTTAAATTAACACAATCTAATTTTTATTTCTCTWACTAAATTTTTCCCCCCATACAAATTTCAATAGTCTATATTTATATATGTGTATGTTGATATGTATGTCACATATATATATATATGTAGGTATATATTTTGAGAATAACATAATTGATTGGATAAAGTTTTATTTGTCTATTTCTTCGCCTACGAGTCCAAGTTTTTTCAAAATAGTGTGTATATTTATATTTATATTTGTATTTATTGGTTCAGATGAAGCTTAATTGAGGACCACTTCTTTTAGAGACATTTGGAGGTCCACTTTTCTTTGTGTAATAAATTAGTGCATTAATTTTTTGGCTTCTTACACCCTCCAAACCTTGTCCTTTTTAGCTCTGAGCTCATTTAATTTCCCCCTAAAAAAAAAATCCAAAAATTTATTCCATTATAGACTCTATTAACTTTATTAAATTTCATCCTTCATTAAATTTAGAGATGTGAGGGAATATAATCAATTGTTTTTAGGGATATCAGGGTGCTTTTTTTGCTTTTTGGGAAATTTTGAGTATGTAGATATGTTTTTATAAATATTTGTAAATAGTAGTTTTATGTAAATATAAATATGCCACTATGAACGTAATTATGATTTATTTTAAAAGAAACTCATTGATTAATAAGGGCGTTTTTTGTTTTGGTTTTTAATTTTTGATTTTTTTTTWWWWTTTTWAWTTTTWRKTTYCMRKTTTYMAWTTTTTTTTATWAGAAAAAAAGTTTGGTAACAATTCTTTGTTTTCTATTTTTAAAAGGTTAGAGAGTTGAAGAGWTATGTAAGAGATAGAAAAACACATTCTCTCATTTCAGGAATGAGGTCTAGGTCGAGGAATCTTGTTCAGGACGAGATCTTTGTGAGAAAAATTATCGGTTTAGAAATTAAATTTAATTATTTTTGGAATTTAAAAAATAAGAGGCGTGATAAATAAAAAATTATTTTTACTCTTAGTTTTAAAATTTTATAGAAATAGAGTATAGTTGAGAGCCGTTAGAGAAAGAAATAAAATGAAACAATAATTACAGTGAAAAAAAAAATTCACAAAAAATTTTCAAGATATATTTGTTAGAAAAAAATAAATAATATAAAAAGAAAGAGTTTATGAGTTCAAATCCCATCCTATTTAGTATACTAAGAAAAAGGAAAAAAAATTTAACTGTCATATTTAATTTGTCTGATATGAAATATTTACACATCAATTAAGGCCTATGGGCCTAAGAACTTCCAAGTTCCTTGGCCCAATGAGCGGTCCATTGGACTGCCCTTATTGTAGACCAATAAACAAATGGTATAACTTAATTCATAATCAAATTTTTTTTTTAATAGATTCAACAATTTTTGGTGAAAATATTGGTACACATGACTAACATATATGTACTTAGGTTTGTCAAAAAGGACCTCATTGGTATGTCTTTAACCAATAAGAACGTTTGAAACTTATAAGTAAGGCACGGGAAGATACGATATGTAAAATAGAAAAATTAGTTGTAATAACTTTTTCTAACTTTTATTTAAAATTTTCAAAATTGAGAAAAAAAAAAAGTGTCTCAAGGTTTCTTGGTACTGTGGTTCTCCCAAAATTCATCTTCCCACTTCTCCACTTGCCTAATTAGATTGGCATTTCTTCTGTAAAGCCTTTGGAGAGAAGTGGTGGCAAAGGGTGGTGGCATGGCGCAGGGGCTGGTGGGAGAGGGAGCTTTCACCATGGATTCCCTCATGAACTTCTTCTCCAACCCATCTCTCGGACAAGCCATTGTCTCGGAGCAAACTTCCACTGCGTCTTTTGGGACTTCGGGTTGGAATCGGAGAAGCTTGGCGTATTGGTTCAAGAGATGAAACATGTAGTCGTATACATTGTCCATCTTCAACTCTTGTTGAATGAAATCACTTGCTGCTTTTCCTATTGTTTGTGCCTATGAAGATCACAAATAAAATAAGATTATTAGTATCCGTGAGTTAATAAAGAACGTGCTTTTAACAATAGTACTTACATTAGCTAAAGCTACACATCTCAAACTACACACTGACTTATATAAATCATGAACCTAAACGAAACACAGTTAGCTATGTAAAGTAGGTTTCTAAAACATAAGGTGTATTTGAGAGTGATTTTGATATGATTAAAATCACTTTTARTTTAGGTTACACGAAACTTAAACTTCAAGGGTGGTTCCACCAATTATATACTTGATCTATATAATCTAACTAGAGGCTACACGAAACTCAAACTCCCCGATGGACGAGAAAACTAGATGCTGAGTAAAGATTTAGGTATAGGGTTTACCTTTTGTTTGTGGGAGTTGCCCCAATGGACAGCAAATTTGATGGATGTGCACTTTTGGTCATCTCTAATAGGCCAATAATGGTGAACTGGCTGTAAAGATCTGGTGAAGAAATCATAGAAATTGGGCTTCACAAGCAATGTCATTGAATCACATGCCAATATGTATTTTTCACTCACTGACCATGCATATCCTTCTATGTAGATCTTGTACCTATTTCCACCAAATAAAACAGAAAAAATATTTATGCATTTGTTAATTATCTGTATTGATTCATCAATTTTATGAATATGAAGTTTAATGGGTTATTACTTGAGAGCGGTTTTCAAAGAATAATGTATTGTCTCTAAAAGTGAAAATTCAGTAAAAACATGTTTGAAAAAGCAAGTATGTAAACGTCCATTTCGGCAATGTTTGTATTTCTTATTTCTTGTTTCCTATTTTTTCAATAAATGAAAACATAGAATTGCATTGGATAATTATTTCTTATTTCTTGCTTTTTTTATTGAAAGAAAAAAAGAAAAAACAGCCACACATTTTGATAACCATTTCTTGTTTAAATTTGTTAGTCGTTAAAAATATTTACCTATGAGTGCATTGACTTGCCAGGTCCGATTGCTTATAACCTTGTTTAGACTCACGTATCCAGTCCTGTAAAATATTTATAACCACAAAATTGTTACCAAATAACTTAGCTTGAATTCCATTGGAGTATTATTCGACATTGACAATCAATCTACTCGATAGTAAATTCGACCTATTTGAACATGTTTTTCTAACGCCAAGAACTTCATCGATAATAAGTAATTAAAAAAAAAGTAAAAATACCAAAAATGTTAGAGTGGGCGGAAAAAAACCTGAATATAGAGGCGGGCATTCCAGTCATTTTGATGGGAGAGATTGCATTTGAGAAGGTCTTGTCTGGTGTCTGCCACATAAGGGTTCCCTTTCCAATAAGCAAAGGGTTCCCTTTCCATCCATTTGCTTCTCTCATTCCCTTCTTTCAATTCCTTCAACAAATTCTCCCATGGCCTTATATTTATCTCTGCCCTAACATTCATCATCCATTATTAGGAAAAAATATGTAGAAACAAAATACAATAGGATTAAAAAAAAAGTATTTTTAGTATTCAGCAAGTCAATTTCAATCTTAAACGGACATGTTTTATTAAATAAGCTCGAATAAGTATTAAAATTAGTATATCTCTAACGATAAACTAGAGAATTATAGTCAACATGAGGTTAAGACATCTCGCTCATTCTCTAAAGGTCGGGGTTCAATCCATTCATCCACATGTTTATACTAAAAAAAGAACAAATGAAAATCAGAGAATTGTCCATAAAATAAATCATCCAAAATTCAACCAATAAACAAGTACTCAAAAGTGATGTACTCATAAAAATTCCTAAACCCAATTACAAAAACAAAAAAGTAGCTGAACCTAGCCCCAAAATCAAATAATTAAAGAAAATGCCCAAGTTCATCAATGTAATGCCATACTCAATTAAAAATAGTTTTGTCTAACTAAAAGAAATTTAACTTATAGAAAATATTAATTTTACATATTCAAGTGGGATGAAATTGATGTCAAAAGAAAACAAAAAGTGGGATGAACTTGAAAATTTAAGATTAAAATTGGTTAACTAAACCGTGTATAGTGGTAAAAAGGTAAATTTTATTTTTTTATTATTAACTAATATATTATATTAAAGGGTATTTAAAAAAAACCAACTTGTTAGAGAAAGTTTTTGTACAAACGTGTTTTAGATAACTATTTCAGAAAAACTTAGTTAGAAAGGATAAAATAGATTTTAATATTAAAATTAAGATAATGTTTGAAATTCAGAAACAATCCAAATGAAAATAAACATGAAAAACCAAATCCAT